GCCTCCCGCCCCCCCAGTAGACCAGGCTTTTCTCGCCAACGCCTGGGGTAGAGCAGCTGGGGGGCTGCAGGGTTGGTCCCACAGCGCTGAGGTCAGCCACTGTTCAGTTTCAGCAGCTGGGTCAACTGCTGTTCAGTTTCAGCAGCTGGGTCAGCAGCTGTTCAGTTTTCAGCTGCTCTGTCCCGGGCTTCCTGGAATTAGCTGCTGATCAGTTTCAACAGCGGCTGAATCTGGACGCCTGGGACAGAGCAGCTGGGGGGCTGCAGGGTTGGTCCCACAGCGCTGAGGTCAGCCACTGTTCAGTTTCAGCAGCTGGGTCAGCCGCTGTTCCGTTTTCAGCTGCTCTGTCCCGGGCTTCCTGGAATTAGCTGCTGATCAGTTTCAACAGCGGCTGAATCTGGACGCCTGGGACAGAGCAGCTGGGGGGCTGCAGGGTTGGTCCCACAGCGCTGAGGTCAGCCACTGTTCAGTTTCAGCAGCTGGGTCAGCCGCTGTTCCGTTTTCAGCTGCTCTGTCCCGGGCTTCCTGGAATTAGCTGCTGATCAGTTTCAACAGCGGCTGAATCTGGACGCCTGGGACAGAGCAGCTGGGGGGCTGCAGGGTTGGTCCCACAGCGCTGAGGTCAGCCACTGTTCAGTTTCAGCAGCTGGGTCAGCCGCTGTTCCGTTTTCAGCTGCTCTGTCCCGGGCTTCCTGGAATTAGCTGCTGATCAGTTTCAACAGCGGCTGAATCTGGACGCCTGGGACAGAGCAGCTGGGGGGCTGCAGGGTTGGTCCCACAGCGCTGAGGTCAGCCACTGTTCAGTTTCAGCAGCTGGGTCAGCCGCTGTTCCGTTTTCAGCTGCTCTGTCCCGGGCTTCCTGGAATTAGCTGCTGATCAGTTTCAACAGCGGCTGAATCTGGACGCCAGTTCCGACTTACATACAAATTCAACTTAAGAACAAACCTACAGTCCCTATCTTGTACGTAACCCGGGGACTGCCTGTAGTTCGGCGGTGGATGCCCGAGTCCTTGGCAGGACTTTCGGTTATTGATAAGCCTGAACTCCAGGAACGCAACACAAGTATTGCTACAAAGTCATCATGAGTGGAGCACCCGTGGGGACCACTCGAAGAAGAAGAAGTTACTCACCTTCGTGCAGTAACAATGGTTCTTCGAGATGGATCCCCGGGGGTGCTCCAGGTCCCACCCTTCCTCCCTGTTTCAGAGTTGTTTCTTTTTGTATCCTTACAGACACCGAATGGTGAGAGGAAATGACAGGTAAGCCAGGTGTGCATGAAGATCAAAGGCGCGAATGGCACATGCTGCACACCGCGCATGCACAATCCGGCTGAATATAGCTATGCAAAGCCTCCAAGCTGCGGCTCCGGGACGAGCCCGACACCATGAGTAGAGCACCCACAGGGACCCCTCGAAGAACCATCCTTACTGCACAAAAGTGAGTAACTTCTTCATTTTTAAAAGTGCCTAAAGGACTTGAATAGGGCTTTAGGTATTGATCAGTCCTGGCAAGGTCTCATGCTACCGACTACCAGGTTGTATAGAGCTTGCTTTTCCTTGTGTAGCATACTAGAAGATCTGCCATCTTTCGTACAATTCTCAGTTTTTAAGCAGCTGTAATCTGGGCATTTTCAGGCTTGTGTATGGTGTAGCAGTAATCTTTAGTGCAGAAATTTGTGGGTATTCATTGGGTTTGCATGTGAGTTGGTTTTATATTTCCTATTTCCAAAAAAAATTGTAAGATTTTGATATGTGTTTGCTTTGTGGAGGAAGATATAATGTAACAGAAATCTGTGAGAGTTTTATGATAGAATCCTGAAATTAGGGATGTTAAAATGTGTGTAATTTGCTAACCCGGTCACTGCTTCAGTTGTAACATGGTTACTTGTGGGACAGTAGCCAACTCCCTGGGAGTCAGTGCATGCCAGAAGCCAGCTTTTCAGCGGTTCTGTATGAGCTTTCAAAATGCTTTGGAATGTTTGAAGGAGAGGAGCTATATGCATATTGAATGCTGTAATTGTCTTCTCTGATAAAGATGTCTTTGTTTTTTACAATGAGAACTTAAATGTTAAAATGTGAGTTTCTTGCTGTAAAATCCTATGCAGAGACAAGACATGTATGGTCTTCACTGTGAGATAGGTAGGTGAATTCAGCACTATAACCTTTGCCTCCAGTTGACCTTTCATTGTGGTAAAATTGCCTTCACTAAGGGATATTAGTTATCCTGTGATAAAGCTCTTGAGTCCTAAGAGCTAGTCAAACAAATTCAGAACTGTTTACTACTAGACCGTGGGCAGAGGTTAGGCAATTGTAATCGAACAGTGTTTTTCATGGGAATGGAGCTGACAAATAGTGCTCTCAGGACTTCTGTGAGAGGAAGCAGACTCCTTCCCCTCCCTTTGTTTTATCGGTTGGAAAATGTCTGTGCTGTCTTAGCACCCTTCCAGGGAAGACACATGTACATTTACTCTCTCCACCCAGCAGGGTGACCTTGATTAGCTTGACAGGCAAAGATTTCATGTCCAATAATAGGTTAAATTTTTTATATTTTGGTCTAAGCTGGGTTTATGGAGGAAAGATTTTTCTCTGTTCAGTCAGCTCTAAAGAAACACTATATAAGTAACTGCAGTGAAATTGCCCTGAAAAACAGTACTGATGTGATGAACTGGGAAATATTTTGACTCACTTTCCCTGTTCAATTGCATGTTACTTCCTTACTCAATAAATGGAGTTAAAATCAAAGGGTGCTATAAAGGGGACCAAGCAGGAAAGGTAAAATAACAGATAAAATAGCACCTATACTCAAAGGATCTTTTGTTTCATGGAAAGATTTTCGTATCTGACTCTATTCAAGTTAGGATGTTCTTACTAACCCCAAAGTTTGGTTTGGGATCTAAAGGAGACCTACCACTCAAAGACCTTAGAGAAGAGATTTTTATTTGAAAGAGAGAAGCTGACTAGGCTAGGACGTGTGTCTGAAAAGAGTGACAGTCTGACTGAGAGACTCAAAATGTCTACAGTGTAACTGGGAGGTGTAATTTCTGGCACCAGTAAATATATAGGTACTAGAGACGTTAGCATGTACTCAAATTCATGGTTACACACAGCCTTATTCTCTCCACCCCCGCCTCTCTATTAGAGATGGGAGCTAGTGTGTGTGGGGAGCTGGCTCCCAGGGAGTCAGATACCTGTCTGACTGAGAGACTCAAAATGTCTACAGTGTAACTGGGAGGTGTAATTTCTGGCACCAGTAAATATATAGGTACTAGAGACGTTAGCATGTACTCAAATTCATGGTTACACACAGCCTTATTCTCTCCACCCCCGCCTCTCTATTAGAGATGGGAGCTAGTGTGTGTGGGGAGCTGGCTCCCAGGGAGTCAGATACCTCCCTGCCTCTGATACAGAGGCAGCACCAACCGGGGAAGGGGGCAGCTTCCTCCCAGCTGAGTGCCCTCTCTGACCACCCCTTTGCTGCTTCTGTATCAGAGACAGCAGTGTGGGGAGCAGGAAGGAGCCCATACGTGTGGGGGGCCAGCTTTTAAACTGGCTTAAAAGTTGGCTCACCGCGAGCACCAGCTCCTGCTTTCTGCCCCTGGTATGTAAATATGTAACCACTAAAAAATTCAGCGGTTACACGTTCACACAAATACACACATTTTAACATCCCGAATAAGTACTACCATTCAGATTGAACTAGCACACTAAAAATAGTGGTATTGTTGTGGTGGTCTAGGTTAGCCACCAGAGTACATACCTAGGGTCCCAAGTTGTACTCTGACCATTAGCCTTAGCTACAATGGCCACATTGTCATTTTTAGCTCAATCAGAGGCAGTATCTACTGTATTAGGAGTGTTAAAATGTTAAGCTTGACCAGAGTAGGATGTGCCTATCTACTTAAGCTGGGAATTACACCTTTCCCCAACAGTGCAAACATACTCTCACAGACTGGGACATGAGCTATGGAATGATAGTGGAAGCTTATGTAAGAAAATAAGTATACGGTTCTTTGTGCTTATAGACGTAGATTTAAAACAACAATGTACTGTGTGGGAAAAATAAGTTGTATTTTGTTGGAGAAGCTGTTCCTGTATAATTGCAGACATATACTGTCACAGGTTCCCAAAGAGAAGCTTAGAAGGATACTGTTCTAGAAATTTCAATGGAAGGAATACTCCCATAGATTCAAAGATGTTCACAAGATTCTGAAACTGTCCAACTTTAAATAGTTTAAAAGAAGGTTTGTGGTTTCATGGACAGGGCCCATTGAGTACCATGTCGCAAGGAGTTTTAAACTAAGGATTAAAATCCCATTTAATCGGTTAACTTAAAGAGGGCTGAGGGGGAGTGACTGCCCTCTGCACCAGAGATGGCTGAACCAGACTGAATGCTGGAGCAGCTCCTGCTTGGGGCAGGCCAGGGCACACTGCAGGCACGGGCTGCTCCCATGTCAGAGCAGTCCCTGTCCATGGGGTTTTGGAGCTGCTCCCAGCCTGCTGTGGCCTCCCTGCAGTCTGCTGGCTATTGAGGCGGAGGCAAGGCTCTGGGGGCTGCCCCCTTCCAGCAGTCCTGCCTGTGGCCTGCAAGCAGTTGGAGACAGGGGTGAGAATCCAGGGACTGTCTCCGCCAGTGGTTTCCTCTAGGGTTGCCAGGTGTTTGGTATTTACCCAGACAGTCTGTTATTTTCGCCTCCTGTCTGGTTAAAAAAAATTCAGAAAATAATGGACACCTAAGATGTCCGGTATTTTCTGATTTTTTCCCCCCGGACAGGAGGTGAAAATGCTGGGCACCTGGCAACCCTACAGACACTCAGCACCTGGCCTACCCTCCACACTCCCCCTGAACCTCCCTTGGCCCCCAACACCCCCAGCAACTACTGGACCCCACCAGGTTTGGGATTTTTTGTGAAAGTATCTGGCAACCCTAGGAGAGGATGAAATGGTGGCAGAAAGAAGCAGGTTTTGGGGGATGGATTCAGACTCCCCCTGGCCAGGCTTGGCCCTTGGGCCTTGAATATGAGATCTCTGCCCTACAACAAAGCAGATGCTGGACAGTCTTTCCCCTTCCTCTGAAAAGCTCTCAGCCATCTTTCCTAGGGTTGCCAGGTGTCCGGTTTTGAACCAGATCATTCAGTATTTGAGCTTTCTGTTCAGGAAACAAATTGAAAAAAATATAAATGTCCAGTATTTTCTAAATAAGATGTAATGTAGATTGTGATGTAATGTCAAGTGTGTCTGGTATTTTTGTTTCAACCATCTGGCAACCCTAGTTCCCCCCTCAGCCCACAGGCTATCTGAGGAGAGACCAGGCTCTGGGGGCTACCTCCGTCCAGCTGACAACCCTGCAGGCTGTCTGAGGATTTGCCCCCTCTCTAGCTGTCTCCCTCACAGCCTGTAGGCTCTTGGCAGGGGGCAAGGCTCTCTCCTCCATCCTGTCCTCCCTGCTTCCTT